ACACTTAACACCCTAAAGCCATCTGGTTTGGGAGTTTTTGGCCTAACGCTTGCTACATAGGTTGGTTAGAAAGCTTAAGGGACTTCAGCATTGCACAATCATTCTATGTTTCGCTTATGAGTTACAATAAATTGTCAACAAACAACAAAAGTTATCTTGTAAATAAAATCATGCCTTAGGGACCTCATTTAAAGGGAAATTCAATGATTTGAAAACTTGTGCTTTGGAATTGGAAAAGAAAGTAAAAGCCGCATGTTGAGAATCCAATTCACTTTCACTGAAGCTAGAGTTGATTTCCATTCAAGAGATGATAATTGAGTTATTTATATAGACTTTGATGTTGATGCATGTATGTGGAAATGTATTTAGCCAATTTTTGTATCAATGCTTCATATATGCAAGGTAGTTTTCCCAATGACCCCATCTCCAGTTTTTATCTGTTTCAAGTTGTATTTGAGCTATGTATCTATTTTATTTTACCATGGTAGATATTTTTGTAGTAGCAGTCCCATGTTTGTCATTCCATTGAGTTTTGCATTTTGGTTTTGCTAAGGGACTAGCAAAATGTAAGTTTGGGGGTGTGATAAGCGCCGAATATTGTATATTCAAGCGCCCTAAATTGCATTAGTTAAGTTCTTTATTTGTGTGTTTTATATAGATTACCTTCATATGCACGTTTTTGCATATTTTCAGGTTCATTGGCCAAAAAGAAGCAAGAAGGATGCTTTGTGGAGTTTTGAACATCAAAGGTCACAATGCTGAATTTCTGGCAGCAGTGGAACCTGGAATTTGCTCGCCATTTTGACCTTGAAAACTCGAAAACTGGACTTCCCTCATAACATGACATATTTAGAGCTCTGAATCAGCTTTCCAAATCTTCAAGCGTTTCATCATTCGGAGTTTGGAGTAGAGAGTTATGATCTTCTTATCAAAGGTGCTCAGAACTGCCTGGCAGCAATGAATTTCTGTCTTTCTCTTCAATTTCGACTAACCAGACTTGAGAATTGGATATCAACCACATAAAGTTTTGAGAATTGAATTAGCTTTCCAAATCTTTAAACGGTTCATCATTCGGAGTTCGGAGCTCAAAGTTATGGCTATTTTACCAAAGTAGGTCCGGGCGAATCAATGCAAGAATGGAGCAATCTGCTCCATTTTCGAGTGCTCGAGGCCCTATTTCGAGCACTCGAAATTGGGGCAGAATTGCCTTCGGGAATCCTCATTTTGGCAGCCACTTGTGCATTGGTTTCCTCATTTCTACTTACTTCTTTATGAGGTGGTTGGGGATATTTTTGGAGGAGAGAGAGAGCTTTGTTGGAGGAGATAAGGCAAGGGAGGCCACACATTTACATTAACCTTCATTTTTACAAGATAGAGGAGAGAGAAGAGAGCAAAAAAAGGTGTGTTCTTGAAGCCTAAAGAAGGGAGCTCGAAAATGGCTTGTTCATCCATGCTTCTTCCTTCTTCTAGCTCACTCATGGGTAACTAAACCTCATCTAGAGGGTGATGAAGCCTCCCATTTTACTTATGTTCTAGATTAGGTTCTATTTTGGGGATTATGATGTATCATTTTTGGTCTTTTCATAATCTAGAGCATATTTCTTCTTGTAATGAATTCTAATGTTTATAAATGATTGTTGTAAGTGATTTATCTTGTCTTAGATGGTTTCTTGTAGTAATCATAATGCTTGCTTCTTCTTGGTGACAATGGAGATAGGATTATGAATAATTTTCAAGGCATGTTGATAGAGAAAATGGATAGTCCATTGCTTAGGAACTTCCTTTGATGGGTTATGCTAGTTTCCTACCTCATGTGCTTTATCATTTGATTACAAACTTGATAGTTTTTGCTTGAGTGAGTATATTGAAGGCTACACTTTAGTTTAGGTAGCTCAAATGTATGAATTTTTTAGGGATTATTCTTGTTTAATGATTTAATGAACTTCTCTAAGGGTATATGGTAATCTAGTGTTGCTATATATTCCGTGACCATTTTATATATTGTACTTCCCCAATTTAGCCTTAATCTAGCATGTACTTAGGGTGTAGTGTGGATTCATCTCCCTAGTCTTTTCTACTTATATCTCACTCCTTTAATTTCCTTACAATTTATTGTTTTATGCACTCCTAATTTCCTAGTTTAGTGACTATCAAACAAACCCTTATTACCCCTTATCATTCTAAGAACAATTCTAGACTCTTAGGTTGCCATAGACTAGCGCAGTCCCAGTGGTTCGACTTACCCGACCAATAGCCCTATTTTACAATGATTCGTGCTATTGCGAAGGTTGATGTATAGTTGATTAACCGATCATGTTTAAATAGACACATAGGACTTTAGGGTTAGGAGTTTTTTCTACGTTAGAAAAATAAGAGAGTTAGAGAGAGAAGAAGAAGGGTTAACGAAGAAGAAACCGGATCAAAGAAAGAGGAGACCGGATTTGGAAAAGAAAGGCAAGTTCTTCTCTACTTCTCCTCTTAGGGCTCATAAACCTATCACCTGATTATCGAAATTATAGTTTATGTATTTATTTATTTATTTATTTTCAATTAAATTAATTTATTAGTAGGATTATATGAGCATGTTTAATCTTTACAAAATTATAAGTTTAAACATGTGAATGTATGTATGTATGTAATGTCTGATAATGTAAAATCTTGTATGTAAGATTAGATTAATTAAACTTTAGTTGCATAAATTTTTATAGATTGCTTTAACCTGGTGTACCGTGATGATTGAATTAAATAGATCTTAATTTAACTATATACGTTCAATTAGGCTCAAAATAATTAAATTAAGCTTGTGGGATTTTTCTAGAATTTTCTGGGATTTTATGGGAATTTTCTGGAATTATTTTATGATTTTAGAAGTTATTTTATATATATATATATATATATATATATATCGTGTATATATTATATACTGGAGACTTGAGATCGGCGCACCCAAATAAAGGGGCTGGAATTTAGTGCGGCAAGGTGTACAGCGCCTTAGTGAGCTTAAATCAGGACCGTTAAATGGTCCTGATGATAAGAAGCTATTGTGGTGTGATACGGCGTATAGAACTTAGGTGCACAACAGATCTGGACCATTGGTAAGGTCCAGTCAACAGCGGAAAGATCTGATGCGGCGCGATCCATGAAGAAATGGTGTGCTTGCATGTTTTGGTCACTGGATGCAATCTAAAGGGTGGATGAAGATCCAGTGTGGGCGAGCTCACCATGACAAGGAAGGCCAACCAATGAGGAGAGGCCAGCACGCGCGGAGGGCCAAATCTGGCGCGTGTGCAGCGCGTGAGGACAGCAGCCAGTGACTGGTGGCGCATGGAGGCACGTGGAGCAAGTCTAGGACTGTGTGGTGGCGCGTGGGACAGTGTTTGGGGTCCTGGAAAGTTCCTGGGGATCCTAGTGAATTCCCAGAATTGGTTTTAAACAGTTAGGGTTGAAAACAACCATCAGCGGATGCGTTCGTAGTGTTTTGGGAGCCATAGAGTATCGCTGGGGTATTTCATGTGCATATATAATTTTAATTAGTAGTTAGGGGTGGAAGGAAGTGTATATAACTGTCTATATATATATATTTGGTAAGTAAGGAAGGACATATATATATAAGTACTTGTATATAGATATGTATATTTATATATATTTATTATTCTTAAATGGTATGCTTATTATATGCATGGAATGCCTAGGTATGGTGTGGTATGTGGTTAAATTAGTTTTACGATATGGTACATGGTTGAATTGTAGGCATGGGTGAGTTGCCAACGGCTTAAATATATATGGCCTTATTATTTATGAATAATTTCATGTAGAGGAAGTATGGATGAATTGCTATTTAAAAGTATAAATAAATATACTTAAGGAAGTATGGTTGAATTGCTAATACATAAATAGATATACTTACAATGGCATGGTTGAGTTGCCATTGCAGAATTAAATTATTACGTGTTAGATGATTAAAATTTCATCTGTGAATATTGTATGTATATGTTGGATTAAGACTAAAATAATCCAATACTTACCAGTTAGTGCGCTATTTTATATACATAAATAGAATAATGTTGGGTGACATGGAGGATTTGTCAAGGCCTGGATATTAGTGGTGTGTTTTAAATAACTAAAAATCACTATTGGGTTTTGGATTTAATTCATTATTCGGTTAATTGTAATTTATTGCTTAGATGATTAAATTACTGTCTTTGATAAAATTAAGGAATTGATGAGTTTCTTTTAAAAGAAATATATATTGTCGGATTAGTTTAGGTATGATTAGTAATTAACCATTGGTTAATGGTCTTGGCAATTTAAGTGAACCTATTAATAAACAGGATTATTGTACTACATATATAAGTATTTATATATATTTGTAGCATCGTGTAATAAAGTTAAAACTTTAGTAGGGTTGATGTTTGGTATAGATGATTTGTTTATTGGTTTTCAGAGGCTTAGTAGAGAGAGCTTGCTCGTAGGATTTAACCCGCGATTTATTTTTTCAGGATTATTAGAAGTTCAAGTCTCAAGGTTGAGGATGCGCAGTTGGAGGACTTATTCACTCTTTCGCTTTATTTAAAAGTAAGATATTAGTATTTCTTCGTTTGTTACTAGTATTTAATAATGAACTTCTGGATTATGGATTTTTGGTTAAAGGGTCCTTGAGTTATAGGATTCCCGAGTTGTAACCGTTTGGAAGTTATTAAGGGACTTATTATTTATTAGTTTCTTCAGCGTTTTATTTTATTCTTTGTTTCATTTTGTAAATTGTGCTTATTTAAATACTGTAATTGTTTTGATATCCCTTGATTTTGTGCGCGGACTTGATCAACCCGTGTTCCGAAATTAGGGGATATCACAGAAAAAAACCCTAAAGGAAGTAATCCAGAAACTAAAGAAGCCCATCTCTTTCATAAAGTTTTACTATGTATAACTCACAAAATGGCAACTAATTATACTATTTCCATTCACATAAAACAATCTAATAGTCTAGCTCACTCGCGTGATAATGAAAATGAGAGGTAAAACACCCTCACATTTTTAATAAAAATTTATGATGAAAACCAGAATAATTTTGGGATAAAGATTAACAACTTAAAAGAGCTTTAGGAATAGGAGAAATTCCAATTTAAGTGTGATCCAAGTATGTTGTTACCAAGCTTCTAATTTAAAGAAATTAATTCCATGTTGTTGAATACAGCATAAGCTTGGCCAGATATCCATTGAACCTTATGGTAGTTGTGATAATGTAGCAAGACCACGTTTTTTGTGAATTTTGACTTCAAGATCTTTGATAAACTGATTAAAATTTTTCTCTGAGGATCCATCAGTTGCAATTGCATTTTCCAATGTTCTTTTAACCTTCTTGACCTCACTCCTCAATCCATCAGCTGATTTTCCACTCATCAGACGGTTGATCTTATCCGCAACTTCTTTCATAGTGATTGATTTCTCATCACATAGATTGATTCCTATCTTCCAATCATTAACCACTAATTTTCGATTAGGGATTTGATCAGAAAAGCAAGGAAAACAAAGCAAAGGAAGAGAACACCATATACCCTCCAGCACTGAATTCCAACCACAATGAGTTAAAAACCCTCCCACCGATGGATGCGACATCACAGCAATCTGAGTGCACCACGTCACGATCAATCCTCTATCTTTGATACTATCTTCAAATCCAACGGGAAGGGAATATGCCTCTCTAGAATCTACAATGTCCTGCCGAAGCACCCAAACAAAACTCACTCCACTAAGCCAAAGCCCATGGGCTATCTCCATTAAGTCATCTTGACTAACATGAGCCAAGCTGCCAAAAGAGACATACAAAACAGACCCAGTGGGCTTAGTGTTGAGCCATTGTGTGCAGTCCGACTCGGACCAAAGGCTCGTGGCCACAATGCTCTTGGTGAAGTCAGAAGGGAAAATGGGCCCAATCGCGAAAGTGGGCTGCTTTTGATGTAGGGCTGAGATTGTTTCAGATTCGAGCTCATGCACGGTGTTAATGAGAATAAAGTCTGCTGCCTTGACTTCATCAAAGGACTTGTAGATGATCTGGTGCAGCACTGTTGATATATTGGTATCGTGAAGATATGACATCAGGTCCGTTGGCTCTATAGCCTTAACTCCAGGAATATAATCTATGGTGTCCTTGCGATTACCTAATAAATAACATGATATAATTATCTTTGTAAAATGGAATAATAAATACCTTTTGAGATAAAAACAAAAACAAAAACAAACACAAAAACGAACTAAAAAAATCATTCTTACAAGTTAAAACCAAACCAACACACCGCATGCACTTCCGCCCTCTTAAGAATTTTATTGCTTTCCTAAATATTTACTCTTTGTGTGTGTTGGTGTGTGTTTGTGTATGTGAAAGGTGAGTTTTATTGAACAACAAACGCCAAATACCAAACGAATATTTACTATTTATTAAATTTTACATACATACCTACATTTATGTATATACTATTTATTAAATTTTACATACATACCTACATATATGTATATATATATATATATATATATATATATATGTATATATATATCTCTTACTATGGAGTAATAAAATTGGGAAATATTGATTGAAAAAACAATAAAAAAGGAAATAGAGATAAAAACAAGGAAGAAACGCTCGGTGGTGGATGGTGTAAATTTTGGTGTTTAAGTGGTGTGTGACAGTGTGTGAGAGAGAGAGGAGACTCACAGTTAGAAGCGAAATGACCATTGTTCTTTAGAAGGTGCAAGTGATAGTAGAGAGTGAAAACCAAAGCAATTTGTGTGCAGAAGGAAACATTAACCAGGTTATACTTTTTCGCAATCATCGGAGTCCAAACATGGAACGTGTCGGCGACCAAACAAGATACCGGTGGTTCCGCCGTCCGGACTATCTTTCCGACGAGTTCATCCACATGTCTACATATGTGATGGAGGTGAACCTCCCGGAACTGAACCAAGTTTTGGAACCGGTCCAACTCCACTGGAAAACCGTCGCTCACGGTGGCATAACGTATGTCTAGACCGGATTCACGGGCTTCGGCGAAGATGTCATCTCCGGCGGCGGCGTGTGGTTTGCCTTTGGATATCTGGTGGTCGATTGATTGGGTGTTTATGAAGGTGATGGTGAAGCCCTTTGATGCAAGCTTCATGGCCAAATGAACGGCTGGGATTAAATGACCTTGAAGAGGGTATGCGAAAACAATGGCACGAGGCTTTTTGTGAGTGTCCACCATTTTTCTCACCGACTCTGTGTGTGTGACTGTGAGAGAGAGACTCTATATTCTACTACAGTATTATGTAGTAGCTTATCGCATAGTTAATATATGGTTACATTTGTCCTAAAACAATAAATGGACTTATTATTTAGATGTTTTAAAATAATAATAATAATAATAAATAAAATAAATGATACAAAGTTCGAAACTTTGACTACACGATTACTCATGTTCAATTTGTCCTCCATCACCTTCTTTAAAAATAAATAAATTCCGATAGAAACATAATAATCTATGAAAACATAAATAATAAATTAAAATATATCATTCTACAATATCAAAATATTTTCCTAGAATTTATATGATTATTTTTAAATTGTTGAAAAATAAGGTGGTGATCGACCATGTATGTGCACACTGCCACTCTTTAAAACCGACCCTCCACGTGCTTATCATCTAACTACAAGTACTATACTTAGTAAAGCTCAACAAAATACAAATTTCAAATTAGTTCAACAATGATAATTATTTCATGACCTCATTAATCGTTAGAGGTAATAAATTAAAAATGAATTGGTCTATATCAACAAGTTGACTGCTCTCATCTAAGGAATATATTTTCTCACTTAGAAATTATAATTTAATAATTTAATTCTAATCTTATGTGTATACATAAAAACTAACAACGATTATATTTAAGTGGTTCCTTCGTTTGATTCAGTTTCAATTTTATTAAAATCGTCACAAATAATTTGATTATGTCATTGCAGGGTCTAAAGTCAAATGTACACTCCTTTCTTTGAATATTAAGTGATTCGTTTCTCGATCAACAGAAAAACTAAGACTAAAAAATAAATTCAAGAATAATAAGAAGTTTAATATATATATATATATATATATATATATATATTGGATCCAGATACTATTACAAAAAAACAAAAGTTATCCTTGTGTGGGGAGTACTTCAAGCTTATCTTTTAATTCTTTAGGGTTCGTTTGGTTAGGTAGAACTAGCAAGAAAAGGAAAGAATCGAAAAATATTTAAATTTTTTGTGCGTTTGTTTAGGATGAAACGATAATTTTCTTTAAGGGTTCGTTTGGTTAGACAGAAATAAATGGTGGAAAGTGAAAGTGAAAGAAAGTGAAGGGAAGGAAAAGAAAATTAAGTTTCTATGGTGCATTTAGTTAGCGTGAAAATTTTTCAAGAAAGTTGTGAGAAAATATTATGTTGTTAGTTTGGATAGAATGAAAGAGAAAAGAAAATGATTGTACTTGACAAAATTGCCCTTATAATTTTAAATACTAAAAATATAAATAAATTTGAGTAAAATTAATACATGCATCAAATTTTGTTGTTGATAATAATATTCTGAACTTGTATGAGACACCAAGTCACCTGAATTACTTTAGTCAATATATATATATATATATATATATATGATTTAGACATATGATTTAGACATTACAATTTATATAGTTATTGTAAGGACTTTGATGAAATCGAATAAGATTAGAATTGTTCCACTGTATGTTTGTTTATATTAGAATAACCAACACCAATAGAATTTTACATAAAACAACCAAGTTTATAAGGGTTTTCTTTTTGAATTCAACTAAAATTATATAACTATAGAATATTTTGTATTTTTCTTTTTAATAAACGTATATATTTCCTAAAACTTATAATAACTTTAGTATCCAAATTCTAAAATCTAGTTGATATGTATATAAATTAATATAATGCACCTAAAAAAATAACCACCTTATATGTATATACCTATTTGAGAAAAAAAAAAAAAAAAGGAGAAAAAGATAAAGGAAACCAATTGATAATTAGGGGTATAATAGGAATTTAAAATATAACTTCACAACTTTCCCGAGAAACAAAAATTTTTGCGTATTTTATATAGGAATCGTTTTAGAAAAAATTAGCTACTTTCGGAAATCATAATTTCTTGAAAACTTTCCATTTCATCCTAAACAAACGCACAAAAATTTTAAATATTTTTCGATTCTTTTCCTTTCTTGCTAGTTCTATCTAACCAAACGCATCCTAAAAGTATAAAACACGCGAAAATTTTTATTTTAATCTATTTTTATTACTTTATTCTTTTATCTTTTTGTCCCTTTTTTATAAACATTTTTTTCCCGAACGTAAATGAAATCATGAAATTGGAGAGATTTTATTTTTAGCAAATTTTTTTTAATCGATTTTTATTGCTTTATTCTTTTTTTTTTTCTACTGTTTTTTTTTTTTCCCCCTTCCAAATACGTATATACATATAACATATTATGGTGGATATTTTTTAAGTGCATTATATTAATTTTCAATATGTGTATATACATATCAACTAGGTTTTAGAATTTTGATACTAGAGTTATTATAAATTTTACGAAATATATACGTTCCTTAAAAATAATAATACAAAATATTTTATAGTTCTATAATTTTAGTTGAATTCAAAAAGAAAACTCTTATAAACTTGGTTGTTATATGCAAAATTCTATTGGTTTTGGTTATTCTAATATAAACAAACATCTAATGGAACAATTCTAATCTTATTCGACTTCATCAAAATCCTTACAATTACTATATAAATTGTAAGGTCCAAATCATATATATATATATATATATATATATATATTTTGAGTAAAGAAATTTCGGCGACTTGGTGTCTCACACAAGTTCAGAATATTATTATCAACAACAAAATTTGATGTATGAATTAATTTTACTTAAATTTATTTATATTTTTAGTATTTAAAATTATAAGGGCAATGTTGACAAGTACAATCATTTTCTTTTCTATTTCATTCTATCCAAACTAACAACATAATATTTTCTCACAACTTTCTTGAAAATTTTTCATGTTAACCAAATACAATATGAAAACTTAATTTTCTTTTCTTTCACTTCACTTTTACTTTCACTTTTACTTTCACTTTCACTTTTCACCATCTATTTCCATCTAATCAAACAGACCCTTAGTGTTAGTGTTTGTTTGTATTTGTTGCTTGTATATTCTTTTGTCTTCGAAAGTTACTCTCATTTTTCATATGTTAACCGTTTGTAGGAACTCATCACATCATCAAAAAAAAAAAAAAAAAATTCGAGTCTAAAATTATAAGTATTTATTTTTACTATCCTAAAATGTTGGGATTGATAGGATAGGATAGGATAGGATCACATTTACACGTGTAATGTCTTCTTATTTTTGACTTATCTTTGACTAATTCTCATAGGATTACATTTACACGTGTACTGTCTTCTTATCTTTGACTAATTCCCATTCACACACGCACACAAAACAAGCAATACACAAATTTAAAATGAATGATTGTGTTTAGTAACCGGTAACAGAAGAAAATCTATATCATATGTGGTGGTCCAAATTATCATTCCTTCATAAATACTAATGACATTGTCATATTCATATCAAATTACGTCATAATAATTTATTCATATAAAATTTATTAATTATTAAAAGCAAAACTTGAATAACGTAACTTGAAATTTTTTAGAGAAGATCTTATTTAATTGAGTTCCTTTTACGTTGTAATTAAGAAAGATTCAATTAAAAATTTGAACTTCTAATAAAACTCAAAACCCTTATTTATACTAATATTAATCTAAGAGTGGAGATGTGATTAATATACTCACATAAAAACAATAATAATATATTATAAAATGAAATAATAAATACTTTTGTGATAACCAAAAATATAAAAAAAAAATAACTGAAAAAAAATACTTCGTACAGGTTAAACCCAAACCAACACACAACAAGCATTTCCGCCCTAACAATTTTATTATTTTCCTATATATTTACTATTTGTGTGTGTCGGTGTGTGTTTGTGTATCTGAATGGTGAGTTTTATTGAACGACAATCGCTAGATGCCATACAAATATTTACTCTTTATTAATCAGCTGTCCAATATATATATATATATATATATATATATATATATATATATATATATCTTCTCATAATATTATACTGAGTAGTAAAATTGGGAAATATTTATTTAGAGAAAAAGAAAATGGAAATAGAGATAAATCAGAAACGCTTGGTGGTGGTAGGTGGTGTAAATTTTGGTGTTTGTGAGAGAGAGAGAGATAGGACTCACAGTTAGAAGCGAAATGACCGTTGCTCTTTAGAAGGTGCAAGTGATAGTAGAGAGTGAAAACCAAAGCAATTTCAGTCCAGAAGGAAACATTAACCAGGTTATACTTTTTGGCAATCATCGGAGTCCAAACATGGAATGTGTCGGCGACCAAACAAGACACAGGTGGTTCCGCCGTCCGGACTATCTTTCCGACGAGTTCATCCACATGTCTCCATATATGATGGAGGTGAACCTCCTGGAACTGAACCAAGTTCTGTATACATAACCGGTCCAACTCCACCGGAAAACCGTCGCTCACGGTGGCATAACGTATGTCGAGACCGGATTCACGGGCTTCGGCAAAGATGTCATCTCCGGCGGCGGCGTGTGGTTGGCCTTTGGATATCTGGTGGTCGATTGATTGGGTGTTTATGAAGGTGATGGTGAAGCCCTTTGATGCAAGCTTCTGTTGGTAAAATATAGGCTTAATGTGACTTTTAAGATATAACAACCTTTATACTAATATGTCATGAGATAATTAACAATATGCTAATAAATCATTAATTAAATATGCAACTCTATATTTAATTAAATATACAAAATAATAATAATATGCAAGGAATGAACCTGGACCGAGGCTAGTATTGGATACTATGTCCTTAAGACAGATTCGCCCCGCTATGGTGCTAACGGACTCAGTGGCGTCAATCTCCCAAGATACAACGGTCTACATCCACCAGTAGCAGCACTACAAACTCGTGGATACGGCGAACCTCCTCCGTGTAATACTCTCTCTGACTCAAAAATGCATCTATATACTATATAAATGCTGAATTGGGTGTAATCCGAACCAAATGATTCGGACCAATCTTAATATAGCTCGATGAAATTGAATTAGGATCGAAGTGGCTCGAACCACTTAACCTAAGGTTTGAACCCACTTGGGTTGGGTTCTAGTCTAGAGAGGGAGATAGAAGAAAATGAAAATGAATAATTTGCAAATGATCCAAAGGGGGTATTTATAGAAACAAAAATGCCTTTTCTGATTGGGTGCGTCTCTTCATCATTGGACACAACCATTACAATAGGTTGCAATGGTTCACATGGTGTCTATTCACCACTAGACACATCCATTCCAATAGGTTGCAATGGTTCACATGGTGTCTGTTCACCAATAGACACATCCATTCCAATAGGTTGCAATGGTTCACATAGTGTCTGTTCACCAATAGACACATCCATTCCAATAGGTTGCAATGTGTCTTTTCGAATGGGTGCAACCATGGGTCATGATGGTTCGAAAAAAGGTGTAACATTTTGAAAAAACTAAAAAGTGGTTTTTTAATTTAAAAGGTGTAACCCTTTAGAAAAACTAAAATATGGTTTTTTTTTTTTTTAATTTAAAAGGTGTAACATTTTAGAAAAACTAAAAAGTAGTTTTTTTAATTCAAAAAACCAACCACCCAAAAAAACCTACTCATTTGTAAAACCCATTTAAATAAGCCCAGCCCAAAATTAGGCCCAATCTAAAATTCCAAAAAAGAATAATCTGGACTTTACAATTAGGCCCAAGCCCAAGCCCAAATCCTAAACTCAGCTTATTTAAATTTCAATTTGTTTCAACATTTTTTCCATGTGGGACAAACACTTCCCACATTTTGCATACCTATTTAGGCTTATCAAAACACTACACTTTGGAGCTAATTTCTCATTCATCCAGAAACGGATTTCAGAAAGTAAATATACCACGTTCATCTCCTTGCGGAGAGAAACGTGCTTGTCTAGAGATCCGTAAAAAATTAGTAGCGGAATCTATTTCAAATCTCATCCAAAGTTTATGTTTTTAATGCCCCCGTTTCCAACAATCCCCCACATGAATGGAAATTTGCGTAAAATGCAAAAGATGATCATGCAGACACTAGAGAGAGTATAATCGAAAAGTTACTGCATCAGGATAGGTGGCTTTTGGCTTTGAACCTTCCCTAGTGTATTGCTATCGAATTTACTGGCTAACC